ACGTTAGCGTCGGAGCGTCCGCACACGCCCGCATCTATGGTTAAAAAAAATTTTTAAAAAACGCGAGACGAGATTTACGAGACGACGAGGGCGCGAAAGAAGACACGGCGGGAAAACCCATGCGCGACCGGATGGACGATTGATGTAACTAAAGCAAGGGTGCAGGCGAGCTGGTTCAATACTGACATTGGAGTTTTGTGCCTGTCCTACGTCCCTTTTCCCCGGCTCCAGGGTTACAATGTAACAATTGATGCAGGGTACTTCGTGTCGGGTGGCCGCTTGCGCCACCTAGCTCACGCATGCTCAATTACGGTACTCAGTTTAGTTTCGGTTTCGGAATGTGTCCAAAACTGATCCTTTGGCGCAGGCTTGGCGCAGATTACCCATATTTTGGCAAAATGTAGCAAAATGTAGCAGGGTTAGCCCCTTGGCGCAGTTTGGCGCAATTGGCGCAGCAATCACATCACTGCTCTCAACAATGATTGCTACATATATTCTGGCAAATAATGATAAAGAAAAACAAACAGCATCACTGGGAGGATCTTTTTGTGACAGTTCAACAACAGCAAGTTCAGTGTTGTAACGTAAAAAGAAGAAAAACATCAAACTAAGAAAAAATAGTGCTCGCAGTTCTAGTTTAAAAAAGCATATTTATGTACTTTCCAGTCGAATTGGGGATTAACGCTATGCAAAGAGGTGCTTAACAATCTGAGTGTGGCAAAAACTTAATTTTAGATGACCAATTTCGGATTTTACAATTTTTAATAATTCTGAAAGATTTCGGTCTCCCAAGAGCCTTGTTTGAATGTTCAGAGAGATTTCACTCTCCCAACAGGTTTCAAAAAATTTAACCAGAATGAGCTACAAGTTCCCTCTATTCTCATCGTAAGAGGCCGACTTGGCAGGCTTGGTTGGTTCTCTATTACTGCCATTAAGAAAAAAGCTGGCTGGCAAGAAACCGGATAGCCCTTCTCCCCCGAGTGGCATTTTCTCGTTGAGACTACTAGATGGTTTCGTTGTCTTTTCTGTGTTGCTAACTTTGACAAGCACAACTTAGTAGAGTATCAGTCGTCAGAAGATCATTTTCTAGTTGGCTTCGTTGAGGGTTGCGAGAGTTTTCAGTTGGGGGGCCGGGAAAACACTTAGTTGAAAATTAACCTCAAAAATGTGCCCCCCCCCCCCCAAAAAAAAAAAAATGTGCACGCGAGCAAGGATTGATTTTCTTTAGTGGTTTATGAATGTGAAGTGCCTACCCTGAGCACTATTATTCAGTGTGGAAAATTCATTTCGTGGTCCTTTTGAGTTTTGGCTTATGGTGGATTCGGATATACCGTAAAATTCCGAGAGATGCCCCACCCCCGAAAGATAGCCCACCCCTATTTTTGGCTTGATTTGCTATTTTTTTTTAAACACCGAAAGATACCCGACTTCTAATAATAGTACTATTGGGGTCAATGATGACCTCGGCGTAAATGTGGCTAGTTAGCTATGGTGGAATATAAGCGAACGTTGCTAGCTGGGAAGTACAGTCATCTTTGCTTCGTTGCCCCTCGCCACCATAACAAGCTTGAAAGGAACATGACCTAAAAATAGTAATGTTTTAAAATTTTCTTCATTGTACACCGAAAGTTAGGCCACTCCATCTATTCACCTGATTTGCTCTTGATGTTAGGTGGGTTATCTCTCAGGATTTTACGGTAAGCAGTGGTGCACTCTTTCAGCAAGGTGTTTCTACTTCCAAGCAAGCTTGCAAGTACAAACAGCAGAACAAGACGGACAGAGCAAAAGGAGACTGACAAAAAACAGTGCTGAAACAATGAAAAGGGCCCAAAGCGATAGAAATGAAGTTTAATAACATAGAAAAGTGGGTTAGCTGGTTCATTCTTAAAAGTACAAACAGTGCAATGACACAGATGGAGTAAAAGAAGAATCTCAAACAACAATGTTAGTTGTGCTTGCACTTTTAAGAAGGAACCAAGTTCCAATAGACTGGCTGTGGATAGTATCTCTACAGTGTAGTATAACAGAGACACTAGCCCTGCTTGCAAGGTATTTCCATACATTTGCTGGTAACTAATGCAATAGTGTAACTAGAATGCAATAGTGAGTCTGCTCAGATTGTGAGCAGACTCTACACTCTGCAGCTTCACTGCAATGCACTAGTGAACGTAGACGAAGCAAGCCACCTGAGGAAGTGGGCATGCATAGGATGTACAGTCAAACCCTTTTATAACGAACAGCAGGAAACGCTACGATCAGTTCGATATAACAAGTAATTCAATATAGCAAAAACCATTTACAACGAACCTCCACGATGCCTTCGTTTCAAGGCGAGAGTTTCACTTTCTTTCTCATTTCTTCGCTTCCGCCTTGTAACAACGCGCTAAAAAGATTTTTTTTTTTGCATACTTGCAGAGTTTGATTTTTAGTTTATCTCCCCTTCTGCATTGCTTCTCTTCAAGAAAAAACCGTTTTGCAATGAAAAGCTTTTTTTTTTTTTTTTCTGTGCATGCGAGCAGAGTGTATTTTTTAGCTTTTTCAACTTCTGAATCGCTTCTCTTAGCTCAATTTTGTTCGCAACATGAGCCTTTGGAATTTTCTTTACTACCTTTTTTTGGAGGTGAAGATACAGGCTAGAAGACGATTGTTTGCGCGTTTTTGGAAGCCTTCTCCGGGGGGAAAAAGTTCGATATAGCCAATATGTTGTTCGTTATAAAAAGTACTTTTTACATGCATTTTTATTTAAATTTTCCGTGAATTCGATATAGACAATAATTCGTGTACGTGGGTTTGTTCTAAATGGGTTTCACTGTATACATATGAGGCACTGCTACTCCAGACAGTTTCTGTGCAAATACAGCTCTTGCTTGTTTCCTTAAAGGGAAACTCCGCTTCATTCTCAGTTGTTAGCAAACACTGAGACTCTCTTTAGTATCATCTAGAGAAACCGAATGTCAAATATTATAACGTAATACCACCTAAAAGATTACTAAACCGGCCGACAAAAACTGAGATGCGCGAAGTCACCAAAATCCGCTAATTTAGCAGGCGAGGTGCGGCGCAGCCAACGTTGTACTTCCGTTGTGGCTGACGTCTGTTGCATACGCAGTTTTTTTTTTGTATTTTCTTTTCCAGGGATAGCTTACCAGGCGGCGCTACGGACGCGCTCCACGTCTGAGCAAGCAAAGAAGCGAGACAGACAAAGAAAAAAAAAATGAATGAGAACAAGAGAAACAAAAAGAGAGAGAGAGAGTTCTACGGGATGAGTTTCGCTGACATACATGCCAACCGGTGCCAACAGACTAACCGCAAATACTATTTGCTAACCGCCTCGGTTGCCGCCTACATAGCCTGCTTCGTCGCTGCTTGCGTTCCCTGTTCGCGGCCGCGGCTAGGCCCGCCCTCCCTCCTCCCTCCTCGTTCTTCCCCTCGCATCCGCGTCCTTCCTGGGTTACCGCTGGTAGATTACGTGACCCATTGTATTTCACGTGGGTACGTATGCAACTGACGTTGAGGGTACAATGTTGTCCGGCTGTGCCGAAGTTTCAGTTTCGGTTTGCGATTATGGTAAATAACAAATCGCACGAAAAATATTTTGCTTTTAATGAGACAAACGGTCTAGGGTTGTTTTGAAGCACTTTTCACGTTTATATCACCCACTATCTCAAAATTTCCGAAATCGAGCGGAGTTGCCCTTTAAAGCGACAATGAAGACAATTTTATTTAATTTTTTTTAAATGATGTTTTTATGCTTCTTGGGAACAAAGCGTGCTGCCTAATTTTTTGTAGACATTTGTGATGTATATTTTTGTGCTTACGAAAGAGGTAAAGAAACCGAAACTGAACAATCTCCATTCTTGTTTCTGGGCCTCCGAAAACGGAGGTGACATAGGGAGTGACGTCAAGTGCGAATAGTCGGTATCGGCAGTATTTAGATCGAGCTTCTGGTTACCGCGGTGGGTTATAGCAGCGCGGTGGCGCGGTCGTTTCGTCGAATCTGCCAACATGGACGGCAATGCCACTCTCGCGAGCGAGTTCGAGCTTCTGTTTAGTGACCCAACACAAACGGAACGGAAGAATGTGTGTGGCGGCCTCCGCCATCCCCCGACGGAGACCGCCCAGCTGGTAACGAGCGGCCCGCATGCCGAAGGACAGGGACGCGGGGGAGATGCCGAGGGGAAAGCGGCAGCGATCCGGCCGTTCCGGGAACTGGTTTCTCCGCAGGGGACGCTCCCCAAGAAGGAGAAAATAAACAGCCCCATTTTTGATTTTCACCAAAGTCGGACGTCCTCTTTTCATCGTCAAAGAACACAAACAGCAACCCACACGTAAAAACTAGCGTCGCCCAAACGAAAAACTGGTCTTCGGTCGACTGTTAGAACAGCCATCTACAGCGCACAAATTTGGCATGACTACCATTTTGGAGAATCCTTCGAGTACCGTGTTCTTTTTTTTATTTTATTTTGTTTGCCCATAGTTGCTTGTTGGCCGTTTCGCGTCCAGCGTAGTGAAAAAAAAAGAATCATGCTGCTTTATTTTCAGTTTAGTATTCATTTCCGGTCCGATTTATACCTTTCAAGGTTATTCGAGCGGAAATTAGAACAGTATTCCTAAAGATCTCGAACCGAAACGTGGCCGAGGGCACGTCTCTCGTTTCGACCAATCGCCGACGCGTCTCTTGTGACGTCACGCTTCTTGGCCCCGCATCGGTCACGTGAGCTCTGCTTCTCCTGGCTTCTGCCGCAACTCTCGGGGCGCCGCCCCAGTCTATCCCGGTACGATTATTACCGTGGCTGTTTAATTGATTTGAACCGGCACACAAGCGCCGGTTTCGGCTGAAATTTGGGCAACATGGCCTGAGACGTGCCTGGAACCCAGTTCAATCGCTAAACAGATGTCCGAAATTGCCTTCATTATCCCTTTAAATTTGATTTCCCACTCCCTGCAATGAGCTCTCAACGGAAGACTGGCAGTATGCTGAATAAAGAACCACTACTTGCCTTTTGTCAAGAATGATTTCCTTGAGAGTACAGGTAGAAAGGACTGGCACAGGCACCCCAGAGAGCTTGTGTTTGAACCAAACCTGGAAATAGAAAACAAAGAGCTCTAAACAATACAGATGGGTATTCTCTGACCTTTCTATACTGCATCTATTTAGTCACATACACTCCACGAATGTGGCAGTCCTTCGGGTCTAAAACTGAATCTGCAGACATGGGAGAATTACTCAATGGACGTTATGAATCTGCCTCACAGCTTTCCTTGCGCTGCACAAGGCTATGGGTGATGCGAGACCAACTGCGTGAGCACACCGGTCCTTGTGACTCCAGCCTACCGTTCCGATATGCAAGGCTGCGTGCCCTGTCCACCATAACTCAATTCCTAACTTTCCCTTTCAGAATCTCCCAGACAGAAAAGCTTGCTCTAGATTCAGCAAACGTAATGAGTTGACGAAAGGGCTAGTGTGCAGGCCACCTGGCGTGGGTCCAGATCAATTAAAACTCGAGACTCGTTCCTCTCCACTTCTTCATCTTCGAGTCTCAATTAAGATAAATTGTTGAAAAAATTAGCACAAACTCGGAACTCACAAATGCCACGGCTTAAGTCCCCATGACGGACGTTTGAGCAACATCCACTTGGGTTAATATTTAAAACCATCGGGGCTTTTTAAAATGTGGCACGTCGAAAGCTCGGTATACTTTGCCGTGGCAACCATTCTCCGTCAAATTAAGGCCTGCTCACACACAGGCGTTTGCTTACGAGTGAGTTCCTGAAATCTGTTACGAGGAGAGAACACACTGGCACGCTGGTACCATCTGTGAGGTGACGCTGAAACTGCATCTCAGAGCGAAGGTTTTGTGGTGCTTGCGAGATCAAATGTACATACAGTGGATCGCGATAATTCAAACTCGGATATTTATTAGTTCTGGTTAATTCAAACAAGGTTTAAAAATTTTGTGGTTTCGCTACGTCTTCAGTGTATTCAAAAGCCGCTTAATTCGAACGGCGTTTTCATGTAGTTCATACTTTTGCACACTTGAACGACCAATAAAGGATAGAATTGGCACGCACCGTGACCTTCCCTGGGGCATAGCGACCGTCCGCATTCCACTCGGGCTGGTTGCCGGGGTCCCCGAAAAGGACGTCTGTCTGCTCCCCAAAGGTGCTGCGCTCGTCAAACTGCTGCACAAAGTCAGACTCCATTGTCTCCGGGTAGAGGAAGATTGCGGGCCACACGAGATCAGCCCCGTCGTCCGACAGGTGCACCCTGTGGCTCTGGAGAGCGGGATGAGTGGGCGTCAGCCGCTCCAACGCCTCCGCCGCTTCTTCTTCCGCCTCGGGCACTTTGATCCCTCGCTCCTGCGGCAGAAAACCGAGAAACACTGGATTCTCGGGGAGTGTGCAATGCCCGGCACTGTGGAAACGTGTAGCGGCTCTAGGGAAGTCACTAACCAAGCTGCGCTTTAGAGTAACCATACTTCAGTTATGTTGCGGGTTAGCGACACCATTGCCTGTTGTCACCAGCTTCTGCATGCAAGTGCTTGACAGAAAATTTGCAAACCACTTTCCATCCACCTGCTCGCCAACAGACGTCCGAGTGTCCTGAAGCCTTACCTAAAGCTCAGAAAGGTACCTGTGCGGCTCTAGACAACAGAAAGGCGGCACTGACGAGATGCGGGTGCGTAAATAAATGTCATGCAACGTGATGGAACGTGATGTCGGACAATGGGGAGCACACACACTCTGAGCACAGCCTTCAAGTGACTAGAGCAGCGGTCTCAAACTCATTGAATGCGGAGGCCAGATATTCCCTGGAGAAAAGTCGAGGGCCAACGTAAGCTGGGGGGGACGAGATATTTGATCTTGTACTCTCTTCATCTTGTAAACTTCCAGTTTTGCCCATCTTTAGCTTTTACTTGTTTTAGGACTTCCTTTGGGCCCTCACATGATGCGACAACAAGAATCAAACTGGCACCGCCCCACCATCGTGCTGGCATTTTTTGGAGATAGTAGAACACGGGAGAAAGCAAACTGTCATTCCCATTGCTCAATTCACAGAAAAATAATTTAAATTTAGTGTCTCGAAAAAAAGAAAAAAAAAATCTTCATACGACAGTTCTTGTTTCTTTGACAATATTTGCAGCAACAGTCTAAGAAAATACTAGTATTTTAATGGTAATACTTTCTGAAAGCAAGAATGCTGAGCTCATAGCTCTATCTTTGACAGTTCTTCCTGCTGAGAGAGAGCTTGTGCAGCCGAGGTGCGTCCTCGAGCAAACAGCTCACATTTGCAGCCTAGTAGCGGAATAGACCTTTGGCTGAATTACCCCAGCACAGTGAGCGGCATTTGACCTTTCAAAACAGGTTCTGTAGCAGGTAAAATATTGGTGTGGAGCAGCTGCTGACGTTTTTGGAACAGATGCATACATCTCTTAGCACATCACTTTGAGAATGAAAAAGTGATTGCATCTCAACAAGTTCATTTATGATAGTGATCGAGGGTTCCTCTTTGATACTTCAGTGGTATATAGTTATTACCGTTTGTGATAAAAATAGATAGGGCATAAAAGAAACACAGTCTTCTTAAATAAGGCTCTAGTCAGAGTAGGTTTCATTTACAATGGATAATAAAAAAATGGTTAAAGAGGGAATCATAGTGCAACACTTCATTGGGATAAATCCGCTCTCTCCTCCATTTTACACTCGGTAGTTTTTTTTGCCTTTCAATATAATTTCTGTAAAATGCCAGCAAGAACCAGCTTATCTGCTAACATGTCTACCAATAAAAATGTGTCCCGTAAGTTTAATAAACCTACCAAACTTGACACTCTAATGTTGTTAACTGCAAAGACAACCGCCCAAAAATATTGTTAACGCCTACACTCGCGCTTTAAAGGTGACACTGCTCTTTAGCGGTGTAGGAACCAGGGTTACGTCGAAGTTCGCTGCTCTTTTGATCGACAGCTGCACAGGAACTACTGTGGCTACGGTTTTTATTCAAATATATATATATAGACCCTCGTTTTTTTCTCTTTCTTTCTGTGCTGTTTTTCTTCTTTTTTTAGATTAGAGAATAACTCACAATTAGGACAAAGAAGTTCGACCCGTAATATTCCTGATAATAATTTGCGTGCCTATCGTGCCCAAGCCAGGCACTCCTCCAGATCAGTCGCTGCTCCTAGCACTCCGGTGCAAAGCAGTGAAGCTCGACGCATGCACGCTAGTGAAAAGCGAAGGTTGTATGTGAGCGGCGCAAGTGCCAGCGGTATTCTGCAGCCAGAGATCGAAGGCATGTGGTAGAAATGATAATTGAGTGATCTTATCAGGAGTGCAAGACCCTGGTTCTGTTTTATCACGGTTGCCGCAATCGGCAGTCCTCCTATCTCGCAAAGTTTCCTCGGGACCCTTAGTTCCTGACATCGTCTAGAAATTTAGACGGCGTCGGCGATCAACCAGCCAGCGCATCAACCGCCCAGAACGGTTGATGCCCAGCATCAACGGCTCTGGCCCGTTGATCCGCAGCATCAAAGCGCCACATCATGGCATTCGTCATCCTCTTGCACGAGTTCTTTCATCGGCTGAACCAATCAAGTGCAGCATATGTCCTGTGACTTGCGCCTTTAGTATGTGTGCTTGTGGTTGCATGCGTTCCAGCCTTCGACTGTGCTCTGTCCTAAGATGAAACAAACTATATGGTAAGTAGAGACGCCGAAAAATTAATATTTGCACAAATTTTCTTTCCTACTTCTCCAAATATTAGGGTTCACCAATAATAAAACATTAATTTTTTTTGCTTTAAGCCCATCTTGGTGCAGGTGTGGCACAATTCTTAGCAAAAATGGCATTTTGGCACAAGATGTAGCAGACTTTCGTTCATGGCACTATTTGGCGCAAATAGCGCAACACTTCCATCACTGCAGGGATCGAAAAGAATCTTGGGAATGTAAGCACACGTGCCGCGCGCGTTCACTTTATTCATATTAAATGTTCCAAGTAAACAACCAAATTAAGATAATGATGAACGGGTGTGCAGTATGGTATTCTTGCTTTAGAACAGTTACTGTTGCAGAAGGCAGGACACACAGCTCGTGCAACTACACTCGCACACTCTCCTTGAGTTTGGATAATATAACAAAAAGTCTGTCGTCATACAGATGGATTTAACGTGATGAAAAGCTGGAAAGCAAAACCCAAAAAGACACAAAGCAAATAAAAAATGAAAGCCGTTTACAATTACCTGTAACGCCGGTTAGAGCGCAGCTCTTGAGGAGGAAGATGGAAGCGTACTGAGGGATAGGGGACTCCTTGAGGTCATGTGACCTAAGGGGTCACGTGACCTAATGGGTCACGTGACCTAATGGGGTCACGTGACCTAATGGGGTCACGTGACCTAATGGGGTCACGTGACCTAATGGGGTCACGTGACCTCAGGGGCTCACGTGAACTTTGGGGGTCACGTGACCTCGGGGGTCACGTGACCTTAGGGGGTGTCACGTGACCTGGGGGGTCACGTGACCTCGGGGTGTCACGTGACCTCGGGGTGTCACGTGACCTGGGTGGGTCACGTGACCTCAAGGGGGGGGGGGGGGGTCACGTGACCTCGCGGTTACGCCGACGGCGACGCCGCTCAAGCCTGAAACGGGCCCCTAAGAGCTGCGCTCTAAAACAGTATAGTATAAACTATGTGAATATGTTATTAGAGCATAGCCAAGTTTCGAGCCTAAATGAAGCGGCGACATGAGACAAGCGCTCGAGACATGGGAACGGGGCCTGGGCTCAAAGACCGTTGCCCTCGGGCCGCGTCCCAGTGAGGCACGGGCCAGAAACCTGGACTAGAGCGTGTCAACGAGTCTCGGTACACGGCCACTGCGTCAGAACGGACGGCAGCGAGGTGCCGGCACCGCCACTGTCTATCTCGCTCGGACACAAAGAGGCAATTGCATCGCGCATAACGCTTTCCTTCCTTTCCGTACGTCTCTTTCCATCCAATAGTGGCGAGGCCAAGTCAGTTGGAAGAAACCCACCGCAAGTGCCGACCTCAATGCAGCGGCCTTTGCAGCTTCCCGTTTTGCCCGTTGCTGCTCTTTACGTCTGTCGCGTTCCTCCTGCTTCTGCAAAAACACACGAAAACGCCACAAAGAAAATTTTAAACAACATTCAACCTTGGTTATAATGCAATTAAATGCAAAGGTGCAAGCGGGCTGGACAAGAATGACAAAAATATTTTCGTCATTCTCGTCCAGCTCGTTACTGATTTTGGATTAGGCACCCATTTGTACGCCAGAGGCAGTGCGAGAGGCCCTCGACACAAAGGAAACCGACGTTGTCTTCATTCCTGGCGAGCGAGTGCGCGCCCATCCTCCAGCCAGCGGACATGTGTTGGATAACGCCTTTCAAGGATGCTTTCGGGAATCGTTGGTCCTCCTCCTTGCGGGAAGGGGCTGTCACCGCCAGGATGTTGTCGGCTTTGTGTCCGAGGCTTGGGCATCTCTGTCGGAGGATACTGTCCTGACATCTTTCAAGCGCTGTGGCATCTCCACACGCCTCGACGGCTCAGAAGACGGCGATTTGAACCACCGCCTGGCATCTGTTAGCGGCGAACTGGAGATGAGACCCAAAGCTTGGGAGAGAATGTAGGATGAAGCACTGTAACTCGTCTTCAACCACAACGGCGATGCGTCTTTCGATGGGTTCAGCGATGACGAGAGGAACAAACGCGGATATACCACTGACGTGTCAAATGCGCCCACTTTTATATAATTTTTGGCACTTGACCCAAAAGTTTGCCCATCCTCCCGTATTTTTTACTCAATATCTTGGTAGTTTCGGTGGGCGTTCTCTCGGAATATTACGGTAGTCTCATTTCCCTGATTTGGACCTCATGTCCAGTAAGTAGTAACGCATATTCTAGAGAAGTGTAGGATAGAAACTTTTTCGGATAGAACATCTCCTTGTGGTTAGAGCTCCCAAAGAGTTTCTTAGGATAAGAACTCACTTTAGGACTTTATATTCTTGGCAAAGAGGCATGCTTGGCTCTTTGCTCCGCTGACATTTAACCCCTTAAGTGTCTTGGACGAGCTGAGATGGTCGGCCACTTCCTGGCTAAAAATGCCGTGCACGAGCTCAGCTCGTCCAGTGGTTTTTTCGGTTGCCCTCAGTAGTTTTGCGGCGCTGATCATAGATGGCAGCACTCGTATTAGTAGGCAAATATTTTTTTCGCCTCCGCTGACTTACGCGTAATAAACTTTTCAAACTTGATGTGTAATACTAGAGTAACAATTCAAAATAAAAAAAAAATCTGGCACTTTTAGGTTACTTTTGGGGAAAAAAATTTGGCACTTAAGGGGTTAATTCACTACCTCCTGCAATTTCAGGGAGAAAGTACTCCGTTGAAGTGACCACTTCTCAAAAGTGGGAGTAAAAAAGTCAACATACCACTTGTTTCTCAGCCTTGTCTTTGAGATCCAGCATGATGGCATTGCCAGGCTCCAGCTTCGAGTGAAACACAAACATGGTATGTGGTGAGGCTGACAATAATTGAGCGCAAAAAAAAATTGTTAGTGAGTGCTTACGCTACGCAGCAAGCAGGTGTTTCAAAATGCAAAATAGAAGCTTAATTAATCGCCGAAAAAGGACGATAGACACGGGATCGGTATTTTCTGTAAAAAAACCTTTTCCTCGGCAAAAGCTCCATCTTTTTTTCATTGTTTCCCGTCCTCTACACTTTTTATTCTTTATACAGTAATCAACCAAATATGCATGGTCAGAGAATTGGTTATCGTAAACCATAAAAATCATCCATTTGATATGCCAGCTTTATCGTCGGCATGCCTTTGTGCATGTCTTCCCCCCATTATTGGCTGAACTAGAAGTTGGGCAAAAAATTCACCTTCAATATTTTGCTGCACCATTCGAGACAGTCCTGTGCACGTTTCAACCCCCAGGAGCACAGTGCGGCTGCATATAAGGAAGTCAAGAATTGCCACTAAAGATCATGTAGAGGCCTCAAGTGTGGGTCACTATCCATGACATTGACAATCAAGAGAACTTTGCACAGTGCACAACACTATTAGTACAAACACAATATCGTGAGGTCCAGTTGGCTACTCTGAGCACTTGTTCCTACTGTTACACGCTTTCTCTCCTCCTGCAGCAGTGACATGACTTCTACAACCTCTCTTGTTGTGACAACCATTTAGCAGTGAACTAAACTACAAAATTTCCACTGCTTTCGTTTGGAAATTTGAGGCGATGCAATTTAAGTAATGCAATCACTCACACCGTGCTAAATCCGTGACATACACACTTTTTTGGTTGGAGTGCACTTTTATATATAGGGTGGTCCAAGTCGCCAGGTTTGATCTAAAATGGACCATAAACATTGACGCCTGCACGTAGCAATCAAAACTTTTCATCAAAGGTGTATTTCACAGGTCGTTTTTTTCTTGTAAAATTACAAAGCGTAGTTCTCTTTCTGTAAAAAATAAGGCCAAGAAACTTACCAGGGTCTACGCAGACGACAGGGGTTCAGTAACAGGGTGTGTTTGGCGTTCGTATTGATAGATGGCGTCGGGAGCAGCTTCTGAAGGTGCAGCCGACCAGCGAAAGAAAGCAGACGAAAACTGTTGGCAGCAAAAGTGCCGCAGTTATGCACACACATTTTTTTACTTTAAGTGTTGCTTTTATTCTCCGCATTTATTTTTTAACCGAAGGTACATTTCAAGAAGATTATGCTCATTTTAATAAACAACGGTGGTCGCGAGCCGTCGCGATAAGGAGGTAGTGCCATCTATCAATACGAGCACCAAACACACCCCGTTACTGGATCCGTCGTCTGCATTGCTGCCCGCCGTAGAGCCTGGCAAGTTTCTTGGCTTATTTTTTACAGAAAGAGAGCTACGCTTTGTAATTTTACAAGAAAAAACCGACCTGTGAATTGCACCTTTGATGAAAAGTTTAGATTGCTACGTGCAGGCGTCGATTTTTACGGTGCATTTTAGATCGAGCCTGGTGACTTGGACCACCCTATACATTAAGAAATAAAGAAAGCACCAGTAGTGAGAGTAAAAACTTCAAATTATCAGTGCCGTCAGCCCCAAAAGTCTCGAGAAAGCTGGACGAACCTCGGGTTAAGGCCTTGTTGTAACTGGGCTTCAGCTTGAGAGCGGACACCGCGTCTGCCAATGATGAGCCATAGTTTTCTGAAACGGAGCGACACGGGTAAATGGCAAACTTATCATATACATCCCACACTAGTGCCCTCAGTCCGGTGATTAGGCACCCAACTCTGTCGTCTCTTAGTAAAAGCAATGGATGGATGTGTGTGTGTGTACCACGAGACGTTTTTCTTAAAAATGTGTGACCCAGGCTGCATTTTGTTACTACATTATCGCACCAATCGCAAACACGTTCTCCAACCTTGCCCCAGAAAACGAAAGGACTGGCAGTGCTCACGCAAGCGGAAGTGTGCCGCAGCCCTGTTGCAGTACAGCTGCGCGTTCAGCTCGGTGTTGGTGCACTTCTGCTTTAGGCCCTCAGTGTAGGATGCGACGGCCCAGCGATACTTCTTCAGCTTGAAGTTGTTGTTGCCATCCTCCTTGTAGTTCTCTGCCAGCTCTGGAAGATGGACATTACAGTCATCGACGAGGATGACAGGGTGCCTCTTTCGAATGCCCTAAGGAGGCGCTCGATGCCTCGCACCCTGCTTTGGCTGCACGTGCACGCTCGAGGCTCGAGAGACTCCCAAGCGTTGTTGAAACCAGGAAGCTCGCGCTACGACTGAAACATCCTCGCTGCCGTTCTCATTCATTCAGCGGCTGTAGCGTGCAAATTGGGAATAAGGCTTTCAGGCTTGGTCGTGTGCAATCCAACACTCTTTTTGGTAACTGCGTGTCTTTATAAAGGACTAAAGGCCAAAGACGTACATCAGCAAGGTAGGATTGGTAGAATGTCCCTGAAAAAGAATCGCTCGTTTTCTCTACTTGCACTGAGGATAAGAAAAGTCTTTGGTTGTTCTCTACATGTTCGAGTCCTTCAAGGTTAAGATTAGAAGGCGACCACCTAAATGTGGAACCGCGCACAATGCAGGAGGTGTTGCCATTTGTTAAGCCTTCGGCGAACTATAAATGTTATATCCGCAACGTTTAGCTTTGCTGGGCTATTCAAAGTTTTCAAATTAGACGCTCCGCGCACCTGATGCTCACTTCGCACGCCAGCCGCTCTGGTCGTAGGGCTAATAGGAGCACTGGCTCCTCCGATTGAGTCTTCCGAACCTTTTTAGAATTCAATTCGGAGGATGAGAGCTTATATCCCCGACAGAGAAGTTCTGTAAACCCGCTCTTCAGTGATACACGCACCGTCCGAAAAGGGTGACTCAAATGGCACGAGCTCTCCGCGTCGTGCGTATAGCCATTTCCGTCCGAGATGCACGGCGTAGTGCGTATAGCTTTACTCTTAAACTCTAAAAAAAGAAAAGAAAAAGGCTCACCGTCGGGACCGTTCATGTCTGTGTCGTACTTCAGCTGTTGTAGGGCCTCCACCAAGGGCGGCATCTCGGTATCTTCGGGAAGTTTAGACGCGAACAGCGGGTGTTCCTCCATTTCCTACAACAGTCCGCGAGGTGACACAATCAGAACAGTTGCGCTTGGACACGCAACGCGTAGACCTCGGAAGATCAAGTGTTACCTTTTCCCACGTCTCCTCTTTCCAGCCATCCTTGTACTTGCCTGGCTTACAGTTCGCCAGATAATCTTCCGTATCCTGCTGAAGTTTCTCAATCAATTTGTTCCGTTCTTCAGAATCCATGGCGCCAGCGATACTTTTTTTCCCCTCCAAGAGCAGGCCCAGTGCGGTAGTTTGAAACGATCGTAACCAATGTACACTCGTAGAAGCGTTAGCACGCTTTTATCGCACAGTGGTTTAAAACCAGGCACCTCACGGAGTGTCGTATGGTACTTTAATGATAGAGTAAGCTCAGAAATTAATAAAGATGCGCCTGATTATGGGTGAAAGATGCGAAAAGTCGCGCACACAGTCGCGCACAAACGCACGTTCGCAGCGCCCACAGCGCCCACACGGCCCACACGTGTAAAATCGAGCCAGCGACTGTGGCTACGGCTGTGGTTACTCGGTTACTCTACCAGAAAAATCCATGTACAGTAACCAAAGCTAAAATCATTGTAAAGAAGAAACGTCGAAATCTGTATTAACCTATTACAAAATTTGTATATATTGCAAGAATATTTTAAATTTTATTTAAGTTTGTATCAAAACGAGAGTATTATTCATGTAACCAAAAACCGGATTGTTTGTCTGCGCCACCTAGTAGAGATAACACAAAGTTGCGGAAAAATCATCGCCGCCATTGATTTGGAAACTCTGGAAACGGTGTAGCGGGTTCTCTGTCGCAAGCTGATCGCCGTAAAGTTTTATTTTGTGGCAGCAACCACTGACAGCCGCTGCAGAAACCCGCCTTTCTCCAATGCCCCGAAGAGCCAAGCGGAGACGACAGTGCACTTGAATCGCCGCCGCAACAAGCTCAGCCATGAAACAGGGTTGCGGCGATCCGCAAACCGTGCGCGTCGACGGCAAACACGGTTCGGCCCCAAACCGGACCATCTTGGGAACTTCCTGCCTACTTCTCCCGAAATAATCGCCCGGTACGTCGGGGAAGAAAATAGAAAATACGCGACACTCGCAATGGTCGAAGTGCTGCCGATCATCGTGTGCGGGACCATCCTTCACATCGCCGTCGGAGGTAAGCTTCACTCCGGATGTGTGGTCCGCGAACCGTACAGTGTGATCCGCCGAGCTTTGCGCTGCTACTACCAGGGAATTTCTTTTTTTCACGGTCGTCCCGTCGCTTTCTCGGTGCGGCCAAAGACAGATTTATCGGTTACGCGTCGCCGCAGTTGCGAGCTCGCATCAGGCGACGAGTCGATAGTGAGGGCAGCGGGGGTGTGTATGTTTGGGGTATAAACAGCGTTGTCAATGCGTGTCACGTTTTTTTTCCGTGTCCCCTTTCAACAGGCGCCCGGGGAGAGAACCAGTCCCTCCCGATACCGACCAGCCTTTGCAGTCTTTCGTAAAACCCCGATCGGGCGATTGACTCTGTTTCGAGTGGACGTCGCACCGAACGCGAAAGAAAATTCTACAAAAAGACGGGTTGCAAGAAGCGCGCCGCCGTCGACGGAGGTGTTCAGCCGAGCGTAGGAGGTCACTCCGGAAGTGCAGCCGCCTAACCTGGATTTCTCGCGCTGTGAACAAAAGGGGGAAGACGAGCCATTGTTCGGGGCCGGCTTATTTAAAATTGGAGGGCCATCTCCGAGGGCGTGCCTGCCGGGAGACCTTGGAGAGAGTCGGGCCGCCATCGCGCGGTTCAAACCCTCCCACCGCCGAGACCATAGCGCAGTCAATCTCACCGTCGCTCACAGTCTGGTGAAGTACAGAAAAGGGATCAGAGTCAGTCATACTTACGTGTTGAGGTTTAAAGCACCGACCGAGGTCAAATGACTTTTTGCCTTCGGGATGTTTCCTTTCTGCAACCAAAAACAAAAGTAATTTTATTTTCAGAAATAAAATTACTGTAATTAATTAAATTAAATGGCACCATTAAAGTGACACTGACACCCACAAAAAATCCACAAATTTTGTTTTGATTTTTTGTTAGGCAATTTATTATGTCAGAGGACTACCCAATCAATATTTTGCTACAGCGTCACATATATTTTTAATAATGTCAGAAAATGCAACTGCTCGAATCCGAAACTGGATTATTGAGAAAGAAATATAGAGGAGGAGAGTGTTGCCGGAAGTCACGTGGCTATGCAACTTTTCTTTTTTTCAATCAATGTATTTATGTTTTTTTAGAAGCCGCAAAAAAAATTGGTATCATATTTCATTTCTATATTTTTTATTGAATGTGTGCCTTCGATGACCCAGGAATTTGATTATCTTTGGTGGTTGTGTCTAAACCATAGAAAACGGCTCGTGACCCCGGAGAAGAGAGTGAGCGCTACTCAAACCATAGAGTTATTACAATAAACACTAGAGGCTGAGCTGGCGCTAGTGTCTACGGGACTTCCGGTTGCAAATTGAAGCAGACAGCATGCAGTCTACATTTCCAGCCTCCCTGTGTATTCCTATGGGTAAACGCGCGTGAATTTTGTGTCTTCGCCGGAAAATAATATGAATAACTTTTGTCATTTTGGTTGCACCGGATAGTATGTACCTTTATTGGTATTGTGAAAGTGTAATTGCTTTAGTTACAGCATTTTTCTTTACCACTGAACGATGTTAAACTTCGCTCTATTTTAGGCCCGAACCTCTGTTTCAAGGAAGGTATGTAGAAATGAGCGACGATTCTAAGCAAAATAAGGATCGAAAGGAATGCAGAGTGTGTTCAGAGTTCGCCAGAGTAGTTGTAAGGTTGTTGTCCCGGACCTCGGTGGGAACCCTGGAGGTGTCTACCGTCGAGGGCCGGGGGACCGTGGAACGATGCTGGTTGCTGGAGAGCTGGCTGTAGGCGGCGAGGACTCGGGACAGGGACGACCAAGACCGCTTAGTGTTCGATTAAAACACAAAACTTTACTTGAACAGTGCACGATACAATCAAACAACTGGGAATAACTGGCCTCACAGGCTTACGATCGCGAGACACGAAGTCAAGTGTCCTACCGCGCACAGTGAGGGCGATGGCTAAGTAGCCGGCGAACAAGGGCTGCCGCATGCGGCAGGTAACGGGAGGAGAACAGCCAGGGGCTCGCAAGCCCGTTCCAACTCGAGGCTCACACGCTCGGTCAGGGCTTAAGACAGTGCGCCGGAAACCGCTCTGTCCAATGAGGGCTTCGTCTGCATCCCATTGGGTCGAGGCCCCGACGCACTCTCGACCTATTGCACGAGAGTTCGTTGCTGTTGCCGAGGTGGTCATTAAGATCGGGCCCTGCGGTTGAGAGTCTAAACCCCGGTATGTTTATGTTCCGAGGAAGATCTACTAATTCTCGGTTTAGGCGAGAATCGTCGAAACGTGCCCCGCCGGCAAACGTCCTTTCCCCCGGAGCGCGGGCAGGAGCCTCAGCGTAAACGAAAAGCGCGCCTGGGAAGCCGTCTCGTGGATATTCCCACGATGCCGGGTCCACGCCGGCGTGTATACACCAGTTGCACCCGGTGCCTCTCGAGTCGAAGTCACAAAACACTGGAACATGACCCGAAGTCTTCGAGGAAGTCGTTCGAGCTTGAGACGCGGCCCAGTTTACGAAATGGCGCGCCAGCCGATGATAGCCGCACTCCGGTGCCTGCCCCGAACGCCCGCGTAGATTTGTGTGTCTGGAGCCCCGGGTAAGAGGCAAGGCCCGCGGACAACGACCCCCCGTGGGGGATATACAACTCCGTTCGTAGTAGACGGAACAAAGTAAGACACATGCAAGCGCTAAAGCAAAACGAATGACCGAGGCTCAGCGCAACATACCGATAAGCTAAAACTAAACGCCGTCTTGGCGGCGCGCGAAATTTGCCACCGCCTCTACAGCCAGCATTCCGTTGGTGCTTATATATTGCTAATATGCCTGTCCTCTCACTATAAGAAAATGACCCCGTCGTGCATCCTTACGAGTGGTTAAAAAAACGTTCGAAACGTAAAGAATAAAGTATGTGGGCTACGAAAGGTGTGTTTTTCTATTATTTCCTATGTTGGGCAGTTTTTATCGTGCACCTGTCCTCTGGCTTCCCCCTATTTGCAAAGATTTGGAGCGTGTGGGTGATGATTTGAACCCAGAACAAGCATCTTCGCAGATATTCATGAGCAGAAAGAATAAAGCAGTACTTATTTATTGCAAATCGGACTATATTACGTGACTTTCAATTTATTTTGATCGTCTGCAAGCACAAGGAGTTACTTACCCAGTGTTACTGCATAGTTCTTGCCGCCTCTCTTGGTTTTCCACATGTCCTTCGTTCGTTTGACACGTGAATCCCCCATGCTGGAAAGCGTCGACCCCGTGTTCGCGCTAACAGTGTCCGACAGTGCACATAAATACACGTATGAAGCGGTTTTAGCACCGTTTTTCATGCCACGAATTTCAAATAAAAATGCTGTAACTGACCAATTATTTGTCTGCGTGACTGAGAAATGTTCCAATGTGCCTAGTACGTACAAATTATTTGTGATATTTATTCTTATAATCGAGCGCAAAGAGAAAATGCACTCGCTTTTTCCCATAGAAATGCATTACCGGAAGTCAATTTCTGACTGCTTGCTGTCTGCTTCAAAATGCAACAGCACACTAGCGCCAGCTGAGCCTCTAGCGTTTATTGTAATAACTCTATGTCTCAAACCCGCCAGTTCTTCATCAGCGGTTTTCGGGCAGAAAGAAAACGAATATCGAGTGGCAAATTGTGTTCTGGGTAGTTGGGCTCTCATATGTCATGTACAGATAAAAACCCTGGCAAGCATAAATCCCCTCTCAGTGTCCCTTTCAGTTGACAACCAACTGTATACTATAATAAATGGTTCATCATCGAAAATATCAGTCAATTGAAGAGACATACAGATTATATGTGTGCAACTATATGTTTTTCTAAACTTGAGGAACTAAATTAAAAATTTAGGTCTGTGCAAACCAAATAAATTATACAACTGTGGACATTCGTTTTGGCATGCTGAAAGTTCAGGTTCTCGTTCGAATCATGGAGGATCAAATTGTGAGGAAGTCCGAGTCTCAAACCCCCTATATTCCATTAATGAATTAGTGAAAGGGAAAAAAACAACTAAGATTACATAAAAACAAAGAGGGCGAAGGCAGGATGATTCCTGTAACATTACCATAGGGAAGACAGTTTGTCTCCTTTAGACATCTGTGACAAACATGTTGCAAATTTTACTCTTCTCCACCAGCAGGTTTTTCCTATCTTAGAGTAGCTTGTGAAGCGTTGTAAACACGTGTGACATAGCGCTTGTCCTGTATACTTCATATCCTTGTCTTTTTTGCGCTAATTGATATGTTTAACGTGCGACACAGGAACATCCGAGTGGAATGGGACCATCTGATATAGCCTTTGGGCCCTCAGGCAAGGTTGTTTGGCGACACGCATGCAGCCCCCCCAATGGGTGTCCTTGCGAGGACAAATTGCATTAGCAAGAACTGGTACCGCTCCTTTCGTGACCCCGTTATTGGAGGGACTGAAATTATTGTTTTGCTTTGGCCGTCTAGTGCTGGAAATCGGTGCTTCACAGAATAGCCACTAGTAAGCAGCTTCCGCTTCCACATGCTGGTTTTCACAGAAAGTGCATTGACAAGGCTCTCATTGTTTTTCCTCTTCAACTACCCATTCTATTACCAACTGGATGGTTGCACCCCTCAATAAAACAAGTAAGGAGAGGAATTTTTTTTTGTTGTTTGCGTCTCAAAACGGCTACAGTCTTTGTATGAGACTGCCATAATAAATGTTAAAGCTTTTTTTTTTTAAAGTTATTACTTTATTATGTTAAACTTTTACCAACTCGCCCAGTTCAACACCTTGTTACAGTTTATATGGCACACTTAGGTACAAAACACAGCATACTCACGAGCAGCTATACATTCATAACATGCATACATTCATGCATACAATCTCATAGAAAAGGTTTAAAAATAATATGGTAGCTGTTTGTACAAGAGTCACTCAACCTCGCAATTAAAATGTTTCTAATTAACAAAAATATCCACAGAGTTACTGGAGATGTCATCAAATGTAAATTGCATGCAAGAAATGGGACATAGCTTCTCCTGATGAAAAGGATAAAAGAAACAGGCATGTCTGCTAACACGGATAGGTGCATGGAAATTTACAGAACATAATATAGCGTAATCAAGTTGACCGTGAATCACTCTATTAAAACACAATACGTCTTGCACAACTCTTCTGCTTGATAAAGACTGTAAGTTGAGATTTCTAAAAATGTAGGCATAATCATAAAAACACTTTCTATAGAAATACCGATCATAAATCATACAAAGGAGCCTCTTCTGAGCATGTTCAATTTGTTCTGATTCGAATAATGTAAGATCTGGCGAGCTCAATCCTGGAACGAATAAAGCTACAAAAAAGGCGAATAATACACGAGGGATTTGAAAACTCGTTGGTCAAACGGTAAATCATGCCCAAAAGTTCAAACGCAGAGCTAACAACCTGGGATACATTAAAAGAAAAAGAAAGATGGCTGTCAGAATATACGCAGAATTCACAAACTGTGGTGATGCGTAAAATAGGAGTGGTACCGAGAACGTAGTCAGTAGAAATTGGTTGCCTCCTTCCTGGCACTGGATAATGTAGTCAACGCTTAGAGTCAACGCTGTTTTGAGCCTAATGAAACCGGGATGTTAAAAATATTAAACATGATACACAAAATCTGCTAATGACTATTTTAAATGGATAGCTATATTTTTCGTTCCAAATGGTCGATTCTAGCGAGCGTTCGAAGAGCAGCCATCGGAAAGTGCGATGCGTCGCTGGAAATCCAGTGCCTCCAACGCGTTTGTGATGTCACATTTACAACTACACGGGCATGGCTACAGGGAGGCTGGAGTGGTTGTGGGCTTCGTTACTTAATGGCACCAATGCGTTACAACCTGACCGTTCAAGCTGGCCAGTTACTGGTTCTGGAATGCCAGCCAAGACGAAAAAGTGATTCACCTCTGCTTGAAACTCCCTGCTCCACGCAGGAGTTCAATAGGTGCGGGAGAGAACAACACTTTGGTTTGGCCATTTTTGACAGCCTATATGCACTCAGAGCTTGGGGCCGTACTTCTATGAGGTGGAGCTGCGTTTATGGGAAGCTCGACGTAATGACATTCGAGAACATCCACCAGGCGCAGTCGAATAATCGGTTTATTCGTTTAAAATTATGTTTTGGTGTCATTTTGAACAAAAATTGGTGTACCCGGTGTGCCCACAATGTGGTTGACATTTAGACAATAAAATAGGTGCTAGAATTTCGTTGCAGTATGCCGGGCGAAGGGAGAATGGGTGGTTGAGAAGAAAAAAAGAGTGGGAGGAGCCTCACAGCATTCAGATGATTACATGGTTAGGGTTCTCTAGTCTCAAAGCACAATCTAGCTTTGAAAAAATATTATAATACTTCGGTAACCTTAATTTTTTAATATTGCGCTGATCCTTGCGTAATTCCCTTCTCGATTATGCGCCCACTACGCAGTTGACTCTCCGCGAACACCTGGTCGTTGAAACGGAGGCTGATGCCCATTCCACGCTCAACGGATGCGAAGCGTTTATTTTCGGCGCCGTAGCCAAATCGCAGCAATTGTTTGCTGCCACCTCACGCAGAGGAGACCGAGGAGGGAGTCCTCCCCGCCCGGGAGGGGGAGGGCTCTTCGAGCTGCGTGGACCGCCTGGGGGGCCTGGTGGGGCACGGGGACCGCTACACGCCCCGGGGCAAGGACCCCTGCGAGCGGTGCACCTGCCAGCGGGGGCGCCCCGACTCGTGCTCCATCACCTCGTGCTACCCGCCCGCCCAGTGCCACGCCCCCTATCTGCGGGGCTCCGGGGAGTGCTGCGACTATGCCTGCAACGGGACCACCCTGGGCTCGCCCGACGGTGAGCGCCGGCTCTCCGCTGCCTGCCGCGCGTTGAGACCTCCCGGACAGAGTGAGGGCTCTGGGGGGGAGCTCGTCTTCTTATTCTGTACCCGCGACAGACTGTAGCGTAATTCGTGCGATGCTGTCAGAGCTGCTTGCACTAATGACACGCAAGACGAAGCCACGTGTTCGTGCAACTGTATGGGACTACTGCATGCACGAAACTAATGCCCCCCTTACAAACCGGACATGAGGACCGATAAAAAATCAGACATAACACACAATGTCTGTCAAGTTATCCACCAGCTTGCCTGTGTTTTTGCCCCTATTACGCGTGAAAGTTAATGTCATTTCATCGAATAACGTCCTGGCGATCGGCACACGGCACTCCTAGCGCAGCACATTCCACGCAAGTTGCTCGTTGTCGGTGTCGCGAGCTGATTTGCCGTTCGTGGAAATATTGAGTTGGGGTAGTTGGGTAAAAGATTGAAAAATAAAGGAAAGGCCCTCTTTTAGAGTATAACCCAAAGACGGGATTAGCGCACAATTTTCGATTCCCGTCCAAATGCACTCGTGAACCCTCGGTGTAATCGGTCGTCGTGAAAACTCAGTCGGCTTGGAGTGCTTCTGCGGTAACAGACTCTCCAATCTTTGCTGTTGAGGCGGCATGGAGGAGAGCGTGGCATTACTCCATCAACTAAGGCTGCCCCTTGTTTGGCACACGCCGCTTGGAACAGCTTGCCGAGTGCAGTTGCTCGTTGTCGTCTCAAAAGAGGGACTCGAGTATTGGCCGGTACTGGTGCCTCCAACAATTGCATTCGGAACAGTGAAAGGACAGCAATGACAGAATCACAGAATCTAACTTCAAATTCGTGTGACAACCGGCTCGAGGTGTAGATAGGTCGGTCACTTAAATGGTGACTGATCAGCCGCAGATGGGGAATGTCAGTGTGCCCATTGACTATTTCAATAATCGCCTGTTGTGTGTTGTCATCTTTGTCACCTGGAGTGTAGAACATATTTTGAACATCTGCAATAGCTATCTTCTGTGGCGGACGCTGCGCTTGCGTCCACAGCCGAGGGACCTGGCATTTCTTCCCGGGTGATAAGCGATGGAAATCTGTGTATACAACCGGTGAATGCTTTTCTCGGCTAGCCCTGTAGTTGGTTGCCACGTGACGTACGACTCGCAGTTGCATCTGTCATCACTGTCATTGAGTTTTAGTGAAGGCAACTGACACAAATATGTGAGTCAACATTGTGTTAGCTTGATTAGGAAAGGATAAGAAGAGGGTATACGTCAAAATCCATTCCTTATTATTAGCCTTTCCTAATCCAGTACATTTACCAGTGTGCTAATTTCCTCGGTATAGTGTGAACATGTTCATCACTACAATAACCCGAGGCCGGAGATGGTACATGGCGCACTTTAAGACTCTGTGCATCGTGATCCTCATTTCTGCTTGTCACAGTTTTGTCCTTTCTCGTGTGTCACAAAAATTTTTCAACTTTCTCAGGTCCTTGGTCCTCTCTTTATGTCCCTTGTCTCTCTCGTCAAGAAAGTAGAAGGTGTTCCTTTGTAGTGAAAGAAGCTGACACATAACAAGTAGTGATGTTCCTTGTGATGGTAGCAGCTGAACTGCGCTATGCAGAGTCTTTTGCTTTATGGTATACTCCGTTCACCCATAAGCTGAGACTACGGTGGGAGCTACATGCCCGCCGAACCAATCGGCTGCCTCCCTCTCATCGCTGGACCCTGCTCTCCGCGCGTGGGCATGGCCGGGAGCATGATGACGTGGCGAGAGTCATATGACTGGTCTAACGAGGACGTAGCTTCCACTGCAGTCTCATCTTAGGGGTGAATGGAGTATAGGTCGGATCACATTTGCTTTTCATCAACTCCAACTTCAAGAGATATAGCCATCATTTCTATACTTTCGTCATAATATGTTTGAATCTTATGAACGAAGAAATAATTCCAAATACAGATGAAATAGATGACTGCAAACTACTCATACTTGAACACGTTTTGAAGGGGTAAAGATTGACAGTTGTAAAGCTTCAGAGCAGGCTCTACCTACTCGATATGCACAATGGCGACGTGAAAGATGTCATACTACACACTTTCCAATGACTGTAGGGACGTTCAACCAAAACCATCTTTTTAAAGGGAAAAACAGTTGAAGAATCTCCGATCGTGGCTGTTCTGACCGATTCAGTATTTGCATAAAATTCAGGTAATGGTCTTGGTCCTGATAATGTGGTATCTAAAAAATGAGGCACTTCGCTCGAAGTTGGAATAAGCTTTCATGCAGCATGTCATGTATCAGCTGGTGGCCGAGAGATAGCGTGGCCAGGCGTACGCACTTACCCGCACTTTGCAAGAGAACAGGCCTGGTGCATGGTATGGGTGCACGGTCATTGGGATTTGAAGCGCCATTAAAAAAGCAACAACCGGACTCTACTCTGTGTCATGCTTGGGCTGCGACCGAGAGACGGTTGGGCTTTTCCCGGGACGCATCTCACAGAACATACAATTTGCTAAATCTCACAAATCTCACAGATCACAGCATCTCTCAGGTCCTAACGCATTTATAGCTCCGCTTTCTTTGTTCGGCATAGCAATTTGTCTACTGTGTGTGCAGCAGCCAGGTTCAGACACTGTGACATAATATCTGTAACATCCTTTGTACTTATCTCCAACATCAATGCGCCCCTCCAGTGGAGAAAAGCAGACGTCTAGTTTGTTGCATAGAAATGCCTGTCAAGGCCATTCGTGGGATTAGTTTCCTCGGAATTCAGAAGGTTGTGACTGCATCCCTGTTACGTGGGAATAGAGGATGCTCCGTTAACCTAATCCTACAAAATGCTGTCCCCCCACATTCTCTTTGCTCGCAGGCTCGGACGTTCTGAGTGCCACTAACCTGGGCCTGCGGCTGGTGGCCAGCACAGTCACCTCCTTCCTCATCCTAGCACTGTTGCTCTTCATGATTCATCGGCTGCGCAAGCGGCGCCTGCTCGTCATGATACGCAGTGGGTGCCTCTTGTGCCCCTCCTTTCCCTCTGAAGCGCTCTCATTTCGGATCATTCGCCAAGTTTGACATAAACCCGACTGGCACTACAGTGACCTTATCTTTAGTTGCCAGAGCTTGTACGATGTAGTTTGCGATAATGACTGTATCGAATAATGTACAACATCGTGCCAAACTCTTCACAACCCTCATTTATTTTCTCTCTCTTTTTGCATGAAGTTCACTTAGCATAGTTTTAAATAACTTTATTTTTTGTTGTGTTTTTGGCATTGACTGTTGCTTGTTTAGTTGTTGCTTCACGCAAGATTCCCAGCTTGTACCGCTCATGTGATGGGAACTAGAAGTGGTTTCTCAAATTCTATTGTAAAGGTGGCAAATTTACTCCATGTTTTATAGCTGACTGCCCTTTAACATTCGGGTTAGCGACCATTCATATCTGGGTGCTGCTGGTCAGTTACTTGCAAGTCAAGTTTATTTAGTATTTATTTAGTCAGTTGTCTTAAATGCCCACTGCCGGGCATTGTATATGGGGGAGCTGATGATATAATAATGCGGAAGAAACACGGGAGACACTGTTGAGATGGCATTATAGAAGAGCTAGACAAACTTTGTGAAAGGTGAAATATTAAAAAACTAACCTTCACATGTGTTAAAAAAAAAAAAAAAATTATGGCAAACTCAGAAAATGGAAGAGAGGAGGATCATTTGAGAAAGACAACAAGGGTAAAACACATTTCAAAAGGTTTTATTATGTAATGTCAGAATATCCCGAGATTGGTGTCACAATCGTGTCATCGCAAAGAGAGTTCCAGGCCCTAATATAATATGGTTGAATTGTTGGAGAGTGGGGTTCCAGATATTCAAGAGGACTGCTGCTCATACAAAAATGTTCTTTGTGGGTGAAAAGGATGTTCCTGTACTGCGAGGGTGTGGTTGTGAAATAAGCAGAGAAGGGAGATGTCACAGTGAGTTACAAAAGGAGGAAAACAATGCCAGCCAGCTAACCCTTGGGCACAGCGTGTGAAAGGCTCGTGCGTCCTTTGCTACTGTTGTAGCACTCGTTTGTTTAGAGTACTCTGTCGAATTTCAGCCACACACAGAGCAACTGCATGTGCATATCAAATTGCAGTGCTGTCTCTGCAGGACTTTACAACTACTACTTCTAGGTTGTTTAGTCGGCTCTTTTTCCTTGTTCGTGTCGTTCGGGTTTCGCGATTCGATGACGGCCGCTTGCTAGAGGTGTGGGTGGCCTGGACCCGTGCTTGAAGTGCCATATGGTATAGTTTTACCTCTTGTGCCTAATTTCATTACTTCTTCCCCGTTTCCATTTTCTCTTTGAGACATTCAGTGGCATAGCAGCTTTTGGGCATCTAGGAAGTGGAAGCTTTTTCCAGGAAACACCTAAGCAGACCTGGCAATTTGAACCAATTTTATTATCACCAAATGTTATTTCGAATCAAGCACTTTTTCATAGTTTAAAAGGCACACTTGCAAAGATTTTGAGGCGATGAAAACGCTAGTCAGAACTACCGTACTCACTAAGCTCATTACCTGTTTTTTTACCTTGCAAAGCATTTATTGTAACCAAAGTGCAGCGACGGATTATGTACAGGAGCTAGCGTCGTGCTTTGAGAGTGCCATGCCATTAGTGGTGCAAAACTATCGATAGTACTATCGATGGTATTGATAGTCGCCAGAAATCTGACTATCGTTAGTAAAAAAACTATTGATTGTACTATCGATAGTCGACAATCGAAAAACTATCGATAGTCGAATTTCGAAAAACTATTGATAGTACTATCAAGTGTTGACTATAGAAAAACTATTGACAGTACTATCGATAGTCGACTATAGAAAAACTATCGATAGTACTATCGGTAGTCAACTATCGAAAAGCTATGGATAATACTATCGATAGTCGACTATCGAAAAACTATTGTTAATCTACTATCGGAAAACTATCGATAGTCGACAATCATAAACCTATGGACTGTACTGTCGACGGTTTACTATCGATAGTTTTGCGACACTAGTAGTTTTGCGTCGCTCCCTCTTCTCTTTTTCACACTTTATTTTTTCAAATGGGACACCAACTAGCCCAAGTACTTACCATCTCAACTTTGCTTCAGCTTTCAGTGATAACGAAGACAAGGAGTTTAGGCGAAGAGAGGACGAAGGGAGGCGAGTGGCAGTGCGGCAACTGTGTTCACTCTAGTAGTGCAAAACTATTGATAGTACTATCGATAGTATTGATAGTCACCAGAAATCTGACTATTGATAGTAAAAGAACTCTTGATAGTACCATCCATAGTCGACTATCGAAAAACTACCGATATTAATATCGATGGTCGACTATCGATAGTGGACTGCCGAAGAACTATCAATAGTACTATCGATAGTCGACTGTTGATAGTTCTGCGACACTATCGATAGTTTTGAAAAAACTATCGATATTCGGTTTATCGATAGTTTTTGCATCACTACATGCCATGCATGCTCCTGCGGATAAAACTATGGCACCGCACTTGCTCTTATCGCTCCGGCTTGCTTGCGGGGAGACAAAGTCATCCCTCGCCCCCCCAAGTATCGTGCCTGCGATGCGTCTTTGACCGGTGTGTTTAGTGTCCTATTCCACCCAAGCATCAAAAGTGGCCCCGAAACAGATGATGTCGTAAAAGCCGGCATGTCACGCCGTCGGGTATCTCGATTCTGGCGGTTGGTGCTAGAGGTTCTGGCAAAAAGTAAGAGCGAGCGTCGCCGTCGTCGCGGTGTTTCGACTCCCGGTTACTGACGCTTCCTTTGACTAGAGCTAGAGAGCGACTTGCAGCAGAACACGCATCTGTCACATCCACAACCGCCGTCGTGACACCGCCAGGGTCCTGGCCGGCGGCAGGAAGACGCTTTGACGATGTCGCGTGGATATTGAGGGGCCACTTTTTAGGACACGCCGGTCGGAGACATGTTGCGGGCACCGCGCTCGGAGGGCTTGGAAGCGGCCCCGATTGAGTGAGCGGCGGGTGCGCAGGGCTGAACGGCTGCCGGGCGGCGGCAGACCTGGAGGACGCCTGCCTGGCGCGGCAATTGGCGCTGGACGATCGAGGGGGCTTCCTGGTGGGGCGTGAGCACCTGGCCCTGGGGCTGGGTGGCCTCTGCCCGGACCCCCCGCCCCCCTACAGCTTCTGGAAGCCCCCCGAGGCCTACGTCCCGCCCGGGGAGGCTCCGCCCCCGTACGAGGCCCCCCCGATGCCTCCGCCCCTGCCGCCGCATGACGACGCCCACCAGGTGGGGACGGCGCGGAAGCCCAACTGCTGTGTTAATGAATCGCCGTCCATGGTCTAGCCAGGGGGAGGCTTATGGGGCTTCAGCCCCTCCCAAAACCCAGGGGGGTCAAAATGCCTGCATTTTGACCCCCCTTTCCGCACTCTAAGTCGTGAACATCCAAGCCACTTCAGCCTCCCCAGAAAATTTCTGGATACAGCACTGATCGTCTTTCAAAAATAAAATAGTCTCGATCGTGAAGTCATCAATTCATCCGTGTTTTTAGAGTGCAGCTCTTAGGCGCCCGTTTCCGGCTTGAGCGGCGTCGCCGTCGGCGTAATTGCGCGGTGCATTATGGGTAAATTTCCCCGCTAAATTTAGCGGAAAAATTTTCCCGCTAAATCTAGTGGAAAAATTTCCCTGCTAAATTTAGCGGAAAAATTTCCCCACTAAATCTAGCGGAAAAATTTCCCCGCTAAATCTAGCGGAAAAATATCCCCCGCTAAATCTAGCAGAATATTTTCCCCGCTAAATCTAGCGGAAAAATTTCCCCGCTAAATCTAGCGGAATATTTTCCCCGCTAAATCTAGCGGAAAAATTTCCGCTAATTCTAGCGGAAAAATTTCCCCGCTAAATCTAGCGGAAAAATTTCCCCGCTAAATCTAGCGGAATAATTTCCCCGCTAAATCTAGCGGAATAATTTCCCCGCTAAAATCTAGCGGAAAAATTTCCCCGCTAAATCTAGCGGAACAATTTCCCCGCTAAATCTAGCGGAAAATTTTCCCCGCTAAATCTAGCGGAATAATTTCCCCGCTATATCTAGCGGAAAAATTTCCCCGCTAAATCTGGCGGAAATATTTCCCCGCTAAATCTAGTGGAAAACTTTCCCCGCTAAATCTAGCGGAAACATTTCCCCGCTAAATCTAACGAAACAATTTCCCCGCTAAATCTAGCGGAAAAATTTCCCCGCTAAATCTAGCTGAAAAATTTCTCTTCAGGTCAGGTGACCCTCGAGGTCACGTGACCCCCGTGGTCACGTGACTACCACGTGACCTTGGCGAGGAGGTCATGTGACCCCTCCAAGGTCACGTGACCACCTTTCCCCCCCCCAATAACCCGTGAACCTCAGTACCCTTCCCTCCTTTTCCTCAAGAGCTGCGCTCTAATTCGGCGTTACAGGGAGTTGTAAACGGCTTTCATTTTTTTTTTTTTTTTTTTCAGTTTTACGAGGTGCCTGTTAAGACCTGTTCACACTCTTGCGACCTCTTAAAACTGGATTCCTCAAAACCTCTTGCAACGAGAGGACATACTGGCGCCATCTTTTGGGTAGCAGTGTAAACTTGGCGGTCCGGCATATTTACCATTTCTCTCGCGCTTTATTCTTTCTTTCTTGGCTCAAAAAACCTTTGTCAACGTCATAAATGAGCCTTTCTTATACGTATTACTCACATTTGACCTCGGAAATCCCGCAAAACCTTCACTCTTGTGAAATGCAGTTCCTGGGTCACCGCATAGATGGCGCCAGTGTGTTCTCTCGTCCTAAGAAATTTTAAGAGGTTTTAACAAGTCTCGTCTCTCTCAATCGTACTTGGTTGCAAGAGTGTGAAAGTGTGTTGTGCAATTATAAACATTTTGTTCTTACTTTATTACACATATATTTTTATACTTTTTGCAAAATGTGTATTCAAATCGTGTTACGTCTTTACAGTAAAGTCCTCTGGGCGATGTAGGTATCTGAACGAATAAATAAAAAAAATGAAAGCCGTTTACAACTCCCTGTAACGCCGAATTAGAGCGCAGCTCTTGAGGAGGAGGAGGGAAGGGTACTGAGGTTCACGTGTTATGGGGGGGGGAGAGTGGTCACGTGACCTGGGGGTATCACGTGACCTCGGGGGGTCACGTGACCCCCAGAGAAATTTTTCCGCTAGATTTAGCGGGTAAATTTTTCCGCTAGTCTTTCCGCTAGATTTAGGGGGGAAATTATTCTGCTAGATCTAGCGGAGAAATTTTTCCACTAGATTTAGAGAGGAAATTTTTTTGCTAGATTTAGCGGGAAAATTTTTACGCTAAATTTAGCGGGGAAATTTTTCCGCCAGATTTAGTGGGGAAATTTTTCCACTAAATTTAGCGGGGAAATTTTTTCGCTAGATTTAGCGGGCAAATTTACCCATAATGCACCGCGCGGTGACGGCGACGCCGACGCCGTTCAAGCCGGAAACGGGCGCCTAAAAGCTGCGCTCTAATAGATGGCGGCGTGCCCGTAGTCGTCCGGATGCTTGACAATGTATCGGGTCGGCTTGAGCGAACATTTGGAGGTTTTTTGCAGCTCGTCATCGAACCGTGCCTCGCGGAGTGTTTGAACATTGCTGGAAGTTGGCTCCATAAATGGAAGCGGGGGAGCGAGTGCCGCAGCTCGGTATGCAAATTGAATCGAAAGACTCCGGCGATTTTCTGGAGATTTTAGAGTCACGTGGAAGCGTCCTCTGCCGGCGACGAGCGTAGGCCTCCCTTTAACGACGTGGCTCGTAGACGGCATTGGCTCTCGGTTCCACTCGACCGTGTCGCGCCGCACGAGCCAACAACAGCCATCGCTATCTACAAAGCGCGTTGTCGACTATTTTTACTTCGACGGCTTACGACGAACGGTTGTCTTTTATCGAATTTAGGAAAAAATGCTTTTAACTTTTGAAATGTTCGCATCTTGTGGCGTCTTTTTTGCGAGAAAACAAAGCCGGCAGTCGCGTCGACGCCATGAGGTTACAAACCGGCGGTCCGTTCCTCGCCGAGCACGGAGTGCAGAGAAAGCGAAAAAGAGTATCGATGTCCCGAGCTCGGCCTTCGCGTGCCCTTCTAGTCACTTGCTGATAGAGAACGGCAGGGCATTTCTTTTGAGCGCCTAACCTCACGCATGGGCTTTGTGCCTTCTGCCGCGCTTTGGTCGCTCGAGGTGCAGGAGATGCTAGAGCACCCTCGAAAGTAGAAAGCTTGCGCTGGAGGCGGGAAAGCCGAAGCTCCTTCCTGCCGTTCTCACCTCATTGGCGCCTGTAGCCAAACTCATCGCGAACGGGAGCTTCGTGCGAGCCGAGTCTCTCCTTAATCCTCGCACTCCGTGTGGCCGCAGCCGTGCGACCAGGTATCGAGGATCACGCAGACGACGCCCCCTCTGTGCGAGGCGGCCTCCTCCTCGAGCAGCAGCAGCGAGGGGGCGGAGCCCGGGGGCGTGGCCGACCGCCAGAGGGCCATCCGGTCGGACGCCTACTACGAGGACGGGCCCCACGTCACGGTGGTCCGGGTCGGGGAGGCCGAGGGCGGCCGGCCCCACGGCCGCGTGCTCTCCCAGTGCGAGCCCCACGGGCGCCGACTCGTGCAGGACGGCGAAAAGCGGCTCAGCCTCCAGGTGCGTCACGTCGGTCCGTTCGCCCGACTGCGCGTGCTTGGAGCCCAGAGAATCCTTGTCAGGGGGTTGCGAGGAAAGAAGAAATGAGCGAAAAATAAAAGTGTAGCGGGACTTGGAAAAGAATGGCATACTTTGTTTCACCTTAAAAAGTAACTGCAAAGAAAAAAATTTTTTTTTAAACAGCCTGATTGGAACAAGCATGTCACAAAACCGATTCGCCTCAAAAGAATAAAAATTTTTACTGCAATATTGCACGAGACTGATTTTAGTTTGCAGCTAACACTAACACTATCACCAACACCAGTTGTTGCAGGTGGTAGTGATAGGAAGCGACGCGGGGTTTTTGGCTTTCATAGCGCGGTTCGTTACTTTAGTTTTTCTGGGGTGTTCTCTTTGCTTTCGTAAGGCGTTTTCTTTGCTGGCATACTTTCTTTTTTCAGTGATGTGATTGCTGCGCCAATTGCGCTAAACTGCGCCAAGGGGCTAACCCTGCTACATCCTGCTACATTTTGCCAAGATATGGATAATCTGCGCCAAGCCTGCGCCAAAGGACCAATTTTGGTCGCCTTTATAAACCGAAACTAAACTGAGTACCGCAATTGAGCACGCGGTGAGCTAGGTGGCGCAAGCGGCCGCCCGACACAAAGTACCCGGCATCAATCGTCTCAATCGTTCATCCGGTCTTGCACGGTTTTCCCGTCATGTCTCGTTCCGCGTCCCCATCGTCTCGCGTTTTTAAATTTTTTTATTATTATTTTTTTTAAACGATGACGCGGACGTGTGCGGCGCTCCGACGCTAACGTGCTAGTGTACCAGCCATGTCGTCATGCTATGAAACGAAACCACGCTTTTGCGCGGCGGGAGCTCCTTAGTGAGCTGAAGCACTCGCTCCTGAAAGCAACGGCCATGGGAAAACTATATTTGGTTCCTGCCTGCCAGTCACCGTGGTCGCGCGACGTCGGGTGTTGCCGTCCCCACGTCGCTGCAGATATGCCGCTTTCTAAAATGAAACTAAATACTGCCGCATGTTCATCAACATTCCTGTTCTTATTTAATACGCTACTAAAAAAATCCCTCTTTAGCTCAAAGACTTCTGTGTCGAAATATTGATCACCTAGGTTTTTCTCGGCGGGTTTTCTTTCGGAAGGGACTCCGGTGCGTGAAAAATCTGCCGCGAAAGAAAGTTGGTGAAGGGAAGTAATCCAAAGAAAAGAATGCAATGTCTACAGGCTGAACCCGCTCAGCGCGCTTGTTTGTCTCGAGTTCAGTCGTTGCACGAAGCGCTCCAAGAACTTTTTCACCCTGGCTCGTGATGTCTTGCATCGATATGCTCAGGTTATTTTCTTTTTCTTTTTTTTTTCTGTGTGTTTAGCTTGTACCTTGCCTGCCGGCCTGCCAAGCACGTGCTGCTGGACTGTTTTTAGAGCGCAGCTCTTAGGGGCCCGTTTCCGGCTTGAGCGGCGTCGGCTTGGCGTCGCCGTCGGCGTAACCGCACGGTGCATTATGGGTAAATTTCCTCGCTAGATCTAGCGGAAAAATTTGTCCGCTAAATCTAGCGGAAAAACCCCGCTAAATCTAGCGGAAACATTTCCCCGCTAGATTTAGCGGAAAAAATTCATCGCTAAATCTAGCGGAAAATTTTTTCTGGGGGGTCGTGACCCCCCCCCCCCCGAGATCACGTGACACCCCCCCCCTGCCCCGAGAACAGGTGACCCTCAGTACCCTTCCCTCCTCCTCCTCAAGAGCTGCGCTCCAATTCGGTGTTACAGGGAGCTGTAAACGGCTTTCATTTTTTGTCGTATGCTGACAGTTACATTTTGCATGCAATTTTGGGAACCAGTTGGCGACGGAGCGGAGTGGCATGGTTTCGATTGAACAGGCCATCTCCGATCGTGCGACAATTTCGTATTGCACTGCAGTAGTTACGTGCTGCGTTTTATCAGTTGGAGACTGCTTTAATTTATTTTATCACTAGTCAACCTAATGCTGTGCTATTTATACTGAGCTGGTCATTTTGAAATAAATGGTAATATGTGCAGTTTGGCTTTTATTTACCTATAGCGGGTATATATATATATACGTATCATTTAACTGAAGCATTGCAGAATGTGTCAGGTCATTGGCATTTCAGTTACGTGTTTAGAGACTCCCAGGTGGTCTAACTGGACTATAATTTGTTTATTGCGGCGAGCAAAGTGTCCAAAAAATAATTGAAACAATTTTTTTTTTTTTCTAAGAATACTTGCTTCAAAAGCCACTTTTGCTGCTCCGAAACACTGTTATAGCTGCTCCAAAAGCCAGTTTTGCTGCTCCAAAACAGTGTTTTGGCTGCTCCAAAAGGTGCTCCAAAACGGCTTAGGCCAATCACATCACTGTTTTTTGGTTGCACATGCAAATGTTAATTCTTTGTAGATGTCAGCTTCTGTAAAGCGACGCCGTTGCTCTGTAAAGTGCTGCCAGGTTAGTGATCGCCACAGTGATCACCAGCCTGTGTCGTCCAGGCGCGCCGAAGGTTCGGGAGGTGTGCTGTCTTCGTTGCTGGCAGCCGCCCTTTGTGGCATATCTTCGTGTGGCCAAAGACCCAGTTGCTCACAGCGGCCAAGAAGTTGACGCTTCTTGGCCGCTTCAAGGTCTATTTTGCGCGCAGTTCGCACAGAACGCAGTCGCTACAAGAGGCTGGTACGCACACAAGACATAGCGAAAGTCGAGACACTGTGTACGTTGTTCAATTCCGCAGCCAAGTCAATCCAAGAGCAAATCCAAGAGCGAGAGGCAGGGTGTAGTTCTCCTCCACGCGGGGTGAAAAAGCAAGAGTTCCAAATGTGGGGCGGTTCTGATTCCAACTAAATTACATCCTGTAAAGTAAATATTGCTAAAAAAAAAAATCACGTAAAATTTGTTTTGTGACACCTTCGTCCTAATTAGGCTGTTTAAAAAAAAAAAAAAAACTTTTTTTTGCCGTTATTCTTTAAGGGGACACTGAGCTCCCAAAAAACTGTTCTTTAACCCTTTGACGATCGTTGCCATACCCATCCGGCAGCAATTGCATGTTTGAAAGTGCACGCCTAGATGCGAAACCGCACCCGCCACGGGAGATGTTGCTACTCGTCTTTGGCAAACTATTAACATTGTATTAGCGCAGTGTTTCGCTTTGCTGTGCTGTTTATAGTTTGAAATTGGACGCTCCATGCTCGTGATACAGTGCAACCCACTAATAACGATGATGAAAAAACCCGAAATTTCAATCGTATAACCGATTACCGTTGTATCTGCACTGGAAACTGATCATTTCCTGTTTAGAAACTCTTGAAATTGATTGTTATAAGCGGTACCTCGTTATATGTGGTATCTTTATAAGTGGGGCACACTGTATGCGCGAGATGCTTCGCGTGTCGGCTGCTCTGGCTTTAGTAGCAATTGGGACACCAGCTCTTTTGACTTGGGCTTTTAACGCTTCTCAGAATTTAATCGACCCTTTCCGAAATTCAGTCTCGCTACGTCCATAACTATCGTCATCTAAGTATACAAGTTCATATGTTCTATTGGAAACGGAACTTTTAAGAACGAGCGCAAACTGCTAGCCGTCTTTGCTAGATGTTTCTCGAGTTTGGCAGACATTATAGCTGAGGAAATAATCGTAGTGGTAAGTTGACTAATTAACTAAAATCTGTTAATTAATTTTCTAATTATTGGTTTTGTGGGTCATGTTGCAATTGCAGAATCAACGGCAATTGCTATTAGAGGCCAGACCAATTAAAATAATTTGCAAAAGTTTATTAGTGTGAGATAATTATTTAAATTTTCCGTCTTGTAGCCTGATTTGAAAATTGCTTTCAAACAGTGCGGTGCGAGCTTTTTGCGCACAATTTTTAAATCAGGTTAAAAAATTTGAAATTTATTTATTAATATGTCAAAAATGAATAAAATATTACGATTATTTTAATTTGTCTGGCCTCTAATAGTAATTACCATAATTTCTGCAATTGCAACATGACCCGTAAAAGCAAAATTTAAAAGGTTAATTAACTTATTTTAATTAATTGTCCAACTTACCACGACGACTGTTATCTTCACGTCTGTGACATCACTTCAAAGGCATGGAAACCGTTTGGACAGAAAATGTTCTAAGCGATTTAACGGGTGTAAATGGTTCTAAACGATTGAATGGGTGTTTTGACGAAATTGACAGAGTCCAGGCAAGCTGCTGGAGGTCCGACACATTGTACCCGAGCATGTGTTTGCGGTGTGATTGGTGCAGCATTTGTGCCAAACTGTGCAAAAGGGATTAGTTTTCTGCATTCTGGTGCATTGCACCAAGATGTGAGGAATTTGTGCCAACATTTCACCGAAGCGTAAAGTTGCTCCGCTACACTGTGAGAGCATCACGATACACTGTCCAAACTTTTCGGAACCTCTATCTATCGCTCTGAATAACACACTAATATTCAATTTCATCCTCATATCGAACACTGACTGGACTCGGCAGTTCAGCAATGTTTCTCATTGTTTGAGTGATCTATAGTCAGCTTTGTTGAGCATGCTTTTCGTCGTGCACTTGTGTACTGCGGAGAAGTGACATTGGCGGGGTTGACTGCATGTCTCGCTTAGCCCCAGCTCAGATTGAGGAAAAAACACTCCTGTCCAGAATGGGCGTCAAGTATTGGAAATGAAAAAGGACCTTGATGAATGCTGATAGGACAACTCCACCTTGCAGTACATTTTTCAAAACAAAAGCATGCCTTGTATACACGTTTGCGAGTACAGCCTTGGGGCTTTGCCATCTTGCTTGCTTGAGGTGTGCTTGGGCGTGGCCATAATGCGGCCAATGGCTACACTTGCAAACGTGTGTCTATAGACTGCAATATTCTGACATGTTTTGCGCCTCATTAATTGTAAATTCTTTTTTTTTTTCAAATTCAAGACTTGTAGAAGGATACCGTAGTAGAACTTCTAAATGACCTTGGTTAGGTGTAGCTGGGTTTTATTATCTAATTTTTCATTTTGTTACCACCTTTATCCAGACATCCAACTGTACAAGGGTGCAGTTCTAAATGAGCTTTAGTAGCAGTGAATGAGTAGAAACTTGAGAATAACCTTAACATTTATTCTATATTTTTTAAGATTACATATTTGCTGCAACATGCTGATTTTGCATCATCGTAATATTCTACATAAAAAATGCCATTAATGTTTGTAGCTCATAGAGAAAGCTTTGTTTTTTTGATTGAACTAACAGTTTTACAGTTTTTTTTTTTTTTGCAATGTTCAGAACTTGAACATGCTGTCTAATTCTGTAGTAAACAGAACTCTGTTGCGAGATTATTTCAGTATATAGTAAGGGTATACTGAAATAATCTCTTTTTTTTTTCAGTCAGCTTTGTGTGCTTGGTGATTTGTTAAAAAAGTGAAAGCCGTTTACAAATCCCTGTAACGCCGAATTGGAGCGCAGCTCTTGAGGAGGAGGAGTGAAGGGTACTGAGGGGAGAGTAGACCCCTCCCCCTTCTCCTCCTCCCCTCATTCTTTAATATGCTCCGGGGGGGGGGGGGGGGGGTGTCACGTGACTTCGGGGAGGGGGTCACGTGACCTCGGGGAGGCGTGACCTGGGGGTGACCTCAAGGCCACGTGACCCCAAAGGTGACCCCCACGTGACCTTGGGGGTCACGTGACCTCGGGGGGTCACGTGACCTCAGGGGGGTCACGTGACCTCAGGGGGGTCACGTGACCTCAGAGGGGTCACGTGACCTGGGGGTCACGTGACCTTGAGATGACCTTGGAAAAGGTCACGTGACCTCGGGGGTCACGTGACCTTGGGGAGGCGACCACGTGACCTCGGGGGTCACGTGACCTCAGAGGGGTCACGTGACTTGGGGGTCACGTGACCTTCAAAGGGTCACGTGGGGTCATCTTGGGGTCACGTGACCTTGAGATGACCTTGGAAGGGGTCACGTGACCTCGAGGGGTCATGTGACCTTCAGGGGGTCACGTGACCTTGAGATGACCTTGGGAGGGGTCACGTGACCTTGGGATGACCTTGGTTACGCCGACGGCGACGGCGACGCCGCTCAAGCCGGGAACGGGCCCCTAAGAGCTGCGCTCTAAAATTTTGATAGTCGTTAAGTGCAGCCAGAATTCAGACATGCGAAAACTGTCGGTCGCTGCAGCCTCAAACTTAACATGGGGGCAGGCCGGACGCTGCAGATTGTGGACAGGTGTTCTCAACGCCGCGTCCATGACCGGATGCTCGTTTCCCCGTCCACAGGGCCCCGCCGTGTCCCAGAGCAACGGCAATGCTCAGTACCCGGACCCGACATCGTGGCACGGGGAGGGGGAAGGCGGCAGCGAGACCACCTCGAGTGGCAGTGCGAGTCCAGAGGGCCGCCCTGGCGCCTTCAGCCCCACCACGAGCGAGTCGAGCGCTTCCGGCGATGTCAACGAGGTCGCCGCGAGGGCCTCGGCAAACGCCCGGCCGACCAAGGCCCGGCGTTCCCTCGACCGCACGCTGCAGCAGCTCCGGCGCTTTTCCATCCCGCGCAAGAAGAACACCGCCAAGGAGCCGGGGGAGGGCCTCTCGGGAGCTTGTTGCTTCAGCCACGGGTCGTCCTCCGCAGACGCCGACGGGAGGGTTCGCACAGTGCCGAGAGACCGACGCACCGAAGCCGATGGCTCCACCCGCGGGAGGCCGTCGCTGTCGTCCGAAGACGTTGTGAAGGTGAAGAAAGGAGGCAAAAGGGCGCTGCTGTTTACGTCGTCCCGAGACGGTTCCGTCGGAAGGAAAGGCCGGCGCGGAGATGGCGCCAACGGCGACGCCCTGGCCCACCGCGAGTGCCGGGACGGCCGGCCGGACTCGCTGGAACTCCCCACGGCGACCTCAACGCTCAAGGGTCGTTCTGCCGTCCCCGTCACGATAACGGTGAAGTGCAGGCCCGTGCGGACGGAGTGCGTGCCGTCTCCTCGCACCGAGGAGCGCGGGTCATCGCGGTCTTCGTCTGTGTGCTCCGAGACGGGCGAGCGAAGGCTGAGGACGCCAGAGTCCCCCTCCGCGGCCGACGGGGGCTCGGAGCGCGTCGCCGCTGTGCAGTCGTACGGAGAAGCTTCGGCGGGGCGGGTGCCGCGGCAGAGCGTTGCGCGTCACGTGGCGCGCCTCGAGGCAGAAGGATTCAGGCCGCCCGACGCTTCTGCACCTCGGAGGCAAGGCCGTGGGGACAGGCCGCACTGCCAGGGGCACGAGTCGTAGCGCTCGTGGCGTGCCTGAGCGGGGACTGTGCCTCAACTTGACTTCTCTGTATTTTTCGTCGTTGTAAATGTTCTCATTACGGAGACGGGTCGTGTGCTGCGCCGATTTCGTTTTGTGGTACATACGAGAATCTTGTACCAGGACCAAGTTAGTGTGATGAAATTTGTCGCTTCGAACAAAGTCTGCTCTTCAAGACAGTGATGCTCAAGGACGATTTTGTCGCAGAAACGCGACCATCCAGTGCGTCGTAGGTGTTCTTAATCCCCCGAGGAAACCTTAGGTCATGTAATCCCCCGGGTATTTATCTGTGGTAGCGTGTCTAGAGGTTGTTTTTAGCATTCCTCAAAAGGGTGTTAAAAGACCCTGGTTTTGTGACCCTCACCTAGCTCTTAAAAGTGTAGGTGTTGCTTGACATTTGGTATGCCTCTTCACACATTATTTTGACGTTTTTGTTTTTTATCAGTGTGCTTGGATGGTCTCTTTACTAGCATCCTCACTCCAGAAATGAAGCAAGTTCCACACTCGTTTCGTAGGTGGAGCTACCGTAGTCATAAAAATACTGTCGAATTGTGTTTATTTTTCTAAAGGTATTGGTTAAACCCTTATTCCAGTGGCTTCGTACAAAGCCAAGTCACAAATGCATCTTCCTCGTTTACCATCTAAGGCTTCCTTTAAAAGTCTGCCAACTTATGCATTGTGGATGATGCATTGTGATTGATGATTCGGAGTGCATTGTACATGGTCATCGTAAATCAAGTATTATTGCCAGCATTCCAGAAATAAATTGTTTTTGAAAGCAGACATTTTTGCAACTAGTGATTGATCTTTACATGTTCTTAATTAAAAAAAAAAAACATAATCGAGACAGGCAAGTCAATTTGAAGAGAAGGCTTAGCGTCTTCTTTCTAAGCATTTACCTTTTCTCTCAGTTGCTATAGTTTCATCCTAGACAGAAGTAGGTACATTGCTTTATCCTGGCAAAGTAGTACACAGAAATTTTGAGGAAGGCTTTATTTCACAACTGAAATGCTGAATCGAAGTAGTTATCCCTCGTAATAGCGAAATCGCTTTTTTCGAATTATCGCTTTTATCGAAGTTCAACGTGGTCCGACTGAAATGCAGGCATTTTGAACCGGATTATTTTCGATATGTGTATCGGCGGCCGACCACGCTTGTTAAGAAGGCTGCGGTGCCGAAAGCACGCACGCCTACACGGAGACCTTTGCGTTTCCTCCCCCTTCTCCACCGAGGCAAATTAGAAAAACGGTGATGACTGAGCAAACCGGTGACGGAGGGCAGAGCGCCGCTTCTGATGCCGATGCGCCGAACGGACAGGGAGCAGCGGGTGCAGCGCAGCGTCCACGTTCCGACGCTACTCGCGGTGCACCTACTCACGGTGCCCGCGGCCGACGCTGACCGACTCCTGTCGGAATCTGGTCAAGGGGGCGATGGAGCGGATGGCTCCCGGAGGAGATCATTCCTTCGTGAGCCCCCGACACGCGTTGGTTTTGCTGTTTACGATTAAAAAGCGCGCGAACGAGACGAAGGATAAGAGTAGACAAAGCACTGACTCTCAACTGAATTTTATCGGAAAGCGACCATAAAATCGCCGTGATTAAATAGGACACAGTCCTTAGCACCTTGTCACGCACGAAGACTATCATTTACGTGCCCCCCCCCCCCCCACACACACACACACACGACCCCGTTTCCCTCAAGGTCACACGAGCACTTCCCCAAAAAGAGAAATGGAACGCATTTTAAATGAAGAGACAGGTTGCGGTTTGGTAGTCTTGTGCTACTGCTACCCTACGTAGAGTTGGACCGCTTTTGACTCCGATAGATCGAAAGTAGTTTGAGTGTCCTCTGTCGCTCTACACAAAAGTTTGCCCCCCCCCCCCGCCCCCCGCCCCCGCCCCCCCCCCCCCCCCCCCCTTTGCGGCTCTTAGGCCGGGCCAGCCTGGCCACCCTTGCTCTAGGGCAACGAAAGCCTAACTGAAAACTTTATGAACTTGAAGAAAAATCAAATCTGTAAATGCCTAATATCTGAAAGTGCATGCGCAACAACGCAATGCCTGAAATTCTCTTTGGAACTTTTGTTAAATTTTGAACACAGGATAAAACAATCGGTAGGATATTGAGGCTTCTTTCTTCCACGGATATGCACGTTTTCTAGCCGTTCGTGCGGGTGTTTCCATACGCTGCCTTTGTGTGATAGTGCCCTTCTACGATGAACCAGCCACGACTTTCAAAGCTGCACACTGGCACCGAGTTGGTAAACGTTATACATGATAGAGTGAAAATGGAGTGCGATGGAGTGAAAACAACAAACACAATACGACGAAGTTGCTCTCGCAACTAAAGTTTTGTTAGTGAAATTAACAGAAAGAAATTAGCGTAGTGGACACCGATTGCATCAGCGAACACATACTTATCTATTAGGCAGTACACAATATTCGGAGCTGAAACCGTTCACACACCGCTATTATAGCTCGCAAAGAGCAAGCGTTTTTATCTGACAGAGCTAACGACGGCGCACTGTCAGCTGTCAATAAATTGTTGTCTTTTTTTACCGGTGTACGATGTACGTTCTGATTTTATACTTGCTGCTTCATTAATTTACAGAATGGGTAATTACTAATTTCTGAGGAATTAGTAAATATGCCCAATGAACTTCAAGAATATACAACCAAAAAGGACACTTATTTTTAAATAAGTGACAAATTCTAATTGTGTTAAATTGCCACGTTTGACGCAGAATTCGCTAAGTTAAACAAAAATCGGTGAGCTTTTTTCCGGATCTGCTCAAAGGCCGGTGAGCTTTTCTCCGGTGAGCTTTTCTCCGCCGCCCAGCTCAAACTCCGTCAGAACGTAGCCCCAGCCATTCGAGCAAGATGCCAAAGTTTCAGCACCCACAGTTACCTTATTCAAAAGTTATAAGTATTTTTTTTTTTAATTTTTAATGAAAAAATGGGGCCCATTTTTGCCCGTTCCCGGTTTCTGGAGCCATAGAGCTCCATGCAGACTTGTGCACGTTACTGAAAAATAGTAAGTCATTACATTTACAATTACTCAAGGCTAAATTGTAATTTATTAAAATTACAATTACCCTCCCGTATAAGTAACTGACCGTTACCCCGGAAAGTAATCCGTTAATTTCGTGGCGTTACTTTCTACACTATTGTCCTCAAGTAAGAAACAAAGGGAAGAGGGTTATTCAAGTTCTTATTGTTGCAACCTGTCCCATTTAATGAGCTTGAGTATTTTGAGCTACTGCTGGCTCTCGAAAGTCTCGTCAGACATTTTGCGTTATTTCTTACTCAATATGCCGACTGCTACGCTGAACACACTCTGAACTGAGGCACCGGATGGGAGTGCCGTATTGTTCCTCACCAATGCTTCATTCTCTGCACTGAGCTTCTTCAGCGAAGCAATAGAAGTACTATTTACCTCGAAGATAGAACAAAGCTTCGTCGTTGCAGCCGCTGCCTGATAAACGAGAGCTTTAGTGGATCGTTCCGATACCCCCGTAGATCGGTCCGATGACTCCGATAATAGGGAGTTTTCGTAGATCGTTTTCGCCGTCCCGCAAGGCCCTCCGCAACCCGCTACGATAGCGGGAACTTCACAGTCAAGGTTATCAGCGCGCAGGCGCAGTAGCAACTTCTTCGTTGCGGAACGCTTAGCGGAGGGGGCAGCGCGGTCTACGAAAACTCCCTAATAGGGAGTTTTCGTAGATCGTTTCCGCTGTCCCGCAACGCTCTCCGCAACCTGCTACGCTAGCCGGAACTCTACAGTCAAGGCTATGAGCGCGCCGGCGCAGTAGCGGCTACTTCGTTGCGGAGGGCTTAGCGGAGGGGGAAACGCGGTCTGCGAAAACTCGATACCCGATACCCGGCCGCCGCCTTTGCGCATGCATCCCCACGTAGCATCCAATGTCGTGCGAACATTCCCTGGATGTTCTGAATGTTGAAGGAACGTTAAACCACCATTCGGAACGTTCTAGGAACGTTCGTATGCGAACATTCTTTACAAGGTAAGCTGCTCAACATTATTAAACGTTCGCTAGCGAACATTCCCAGTAATTTCGCAGGTGAAGCCAACTTTATGGAGCTCTCAGGCGACCTGTGGTTCGAAACACCATCCACTATATGCCACTTTGTGCCAAAACTATGCAAATTAACAAGAAACTTAGCGTAAATGATCAGTTTTATCTTATATGAGTCTACCGAGGAATGTGATATAAGATGTAGGAGAAAAGCAATGGTTTTAAAAACATAATAATGAACTTGGCACTCACTACGTATGTAGAAGGACAGTTTTGAATGGACCTGGTTTTTAAGTATCTGTGGTTTAAGACTGAAAAAAGTATTTCCCAGTTGACTGTGGGATGCCATGTGTATTCGTTCTTAAGCTCGGAGTGAGTAATCGGTTATATACAGCACATTTTGAATGAAAGAGGTTGACAAGTAACAGGTAGGAGTAAACTGTCCTTAGTACGTGCTCAGGCTGGTGCGCTGGGAAAGCGGCTAGCTTGTGCTTGCACCTTCTAAAAATCTGTTTCGATTAAGAAATATCGCCCTGTGAGGAGCTTTATCACATTCATGTTGGGGCTGTCGCCTAAGCAAGCCGTAATTGTGGAATCTTTGTAAATAGTCGTCAGAGAATGTTCCCTGAATGTAGCGATGTACCCACGCCACGTTCCGAGGAGATTGAAAGGATGTCCCTCCATGGATTTTCAAGAAAGCTGCAGGAGTTCTTTGGATGTTCCGAGAACGTTCTTTGAGCCTTGCTAGGATGTTTGAATGTTGATTGCATGTCCTAATAATATTCTGTGTCGTTCTCAGGACGTTCTAAAAATGTCCCGTAGAAAACATTCCCCGATGTAGCGATAAGTGCCTACGCCACATTCTGATGTTTATAGAGTGTTTTTACGTAAATTTGCATCATTCCAAGAATGTTGCCTATGCTCTTTTGAACATTCCCGGAACGTTCTCAGAACGTTCTCTTGCTACGTGGGTATCTCCTGCAGTGGCTGTGTAACAGTTATTCCTAGATCTTCAGAAAGATACTAATCCATGGCTTACCCGAAGACGTTTATATTGCTCGTGCATCACAGGCGCCTCCGTGCCGCCATTTTTTTCTGTTTGACCACCCTGGAGCATTTTTGCACTTTGTAAAATTAATGAATTCATGATCTATGGCTATCTACACGCCCCATTCATGGTGCTGAGGTAGCCTCAATTTGGTCATATTTCTAGCTTTATAACTTGAAATACACAAAAACAATGCAACATATTTTTGCAGATTCTGTTAGTACCTATCATTGGCATTAATGTGGGGGAGATAAAAAAAGAAGTCGAAGATGGCCTTTCTTTTAAATTGAGTTTCAAAATAAGTTTCAAAACCATATTTAGCGCTAATATTAACAAGATACAAGACAACACGCTGGCAAGGTTAGAAAATTCGGTTATTTATAGATGCGGAGAAAAAAAAATGTAAGTATTTTTGCGGAATGTGACATGTTTGCGATTTATTTCTAGAAAGTAAGAACGTCGATGCTTAATGATAAACATTTTGAGTCACTCCTCCTTCTACGCAGTTTTTAAGTAAATATTTCTAGACCGGCAGCCACAATAGCTTTTTTGGGAGAATTGACCCAGATGCCAGCTTCGCGCAATGTTTAGAAAGCGCTTGGCACTGAGAGTGTGGTTCTAAATTTTTTCCGAAAAGACAAACAATATATATATATTATAATTATTTTTTTCGCAGAACAGATTTTGGCATTGTTTTGAGGGGCA